TGGCAGAGGGCAACCAAAAAGGTGGAAGACATGAGTTTTAAAATATCAAGGGCTTCGGCTGTTTTCCTTGAAGAGATTAAACCCAGCGAGTTAACATCTTGGTTGTGTTGCTCGGCGCTCTGTACATGGCTAGTCACTGGATTTGCAAGATATTGAAGCTCAGAGCAATAGGAAGCCATGGCAATCTCAGCACCTTTAAATCCATAATCTAAACTTGGGTTTCTGCTTGCAGAGAGATTTGAAGGCAATCCATTGTTGTAGAAATCATTGACAAGCTCTGAGAATTGAGCAAACATGAGCTTTCCAATTGAAGCAACGGCCAAACGAGTGTTGTCCATGGAGACACCAATTGGAGTTCCTTGGAAGTTGCCTCCATGGATCGCCTTGTTCCTTGAAACATCAATCAAAGGGTTGTCGTTGACTGAGTTAATCTCTCTTTCGATAGATTTTGTTGAGAATCGAATGACTTCGATCAATGGACCAAGCCATTGAGGAGAAGTTCTAAGAGCATAACGATCTTGCTTTGGCTTCTGGAGAGGATCGGTTTCATGCAATTTCTTTGCAGCTTTCATGTAAGAACTTCCATCCAGGATGTGTTCCATAATTGCAGCAGCCTCGATCTGACCAGGATGATGCTTCAACTTGTGTGTCAAATGATCGGTGAATTCAGGCTTTCCTTGCATAACCTCAGCAAAAATGGCTGACAAAATCTCCGACAAAACAGCCAAAATATTGGCCTCAAACAGAACAATCGAAGCCAATCCAGAACCAACAGCAGTGCCATTGACAAGAGCAAGACCTTCTTTAGGCTGCAATTCAAAGAACCCAGAAGGAATGCCAGCTTGTTGAAAAGCCTCCATTGCATCAAGGCTTTCTCCATTTGGTCCAACAGCCTTAGAGTTTGGACGGCCAGTGAGCAATCCAGCAATATAAGAAAGTGGAACAAGATCACCCGAAGCAGTAATGGTTCCACGAAGAGGCAAGCAGGGAGTGATGTTACTATTCAAGAGTTTGGTTATGGCTTCCAAAATCTCAAATCTGATACCCGAGTAGCCTTGAAGAAGAGTGTTGATTCTCACCAACATAGCCGCCCTGGTAGCGGAGTGGGGCAGAGTATGGGTGGACTCAGCTCCACTTCCAAAGATCCCAGCATTCAAGAATCGAATCAACTCCTTCTGAAGAGCTCCACCTTGATTGGTCCTTCTATGAGAGGTAGCACCAAAGCCAGTAGTAACACCATAACTATCAGTGCCTTTGTTCATGCTCTCCATAACCCAATCACTGCTAGCTTTAACGCCAGCTCTAGCAGACTCAGCCAACTGGACCAGCACATCATTATCACGAGTGGCAATGGCGGCCACTTGGGAAATGGTGAGAGTCTCACCGCCAAGCTTGACAAGGGGCCTCCGGTACTCCTCCACCATGCGCTTGACCTCATCGAGATGGCTTCCCTTGAGAGCGTCGGCAGCCACACCCCAGTTAAGTGGATCGTTGCGGGTAATGCAGAAGGTCTCCACCGAACCATTTTGGGCGGCAAGTTGTTGGAAGGGAGCTGGGGCCATTTGTATAGCAAAATAAAAGATGAAGAGTAGAGAGTGTTAGAGAGGAAGTAAGAATGTGAGTTGGGTTTAGAATTAGAATTGATATCTGAGTTGTGGAGAAAGATGGGGAAAAATGGTTATATAGAGAAAGCTTTGTGCAACAACCGCGCAACGGGGGCTGCGTTAGGTAAAGGTAAGAAAGAGGCGAGCGAGAAAGGAAGAAGAGCTCCGAAGGTTGGTGGAAATGGTTGAAATAAGAAATGTAGTGAAAATTTGAATGGTCAAAGTTTGTAGGCCTTGGTGCTTGTGTTCGGTTGTTGTGTATGGATTTCTTGACTCCACTTAAATGGATGTCTGACTAATATTATAACAATGATTAGTTTTATTATTATTATTAATTCATTATTTCATTAGGTGGTTATTTATTATATAATTTAATTTAATATCCCACTACTTACTCATTATTAATTCATTTTGCTATACATAATAGCTTCTTCCCGTTTTTTATTATTATTATTATTATTATTTTTTATCTTCATGGTCAAATGTATGGCTAAAGTCAAGTATTTTTCTTTTTTTAAAATGTTGAACTATTCTGACATCGAGCCTAAAGTCTAACTATTCTGACGTCGAGTCTAAAGTCTAACTATTCTGACATCAAATGTATGGCTAATTCACATTGTTTTGAAAAGTTCATGTACGCTCTCGCCTCGACGGCTCGATTTAGGCCTCATCTTAAATGATTAAAGTGTCATGGAGAAGTATAAAAATACTTAGTAAGTAGCTTGCTGGTAGTTTCTTAAGTCTTATCTCATTGATTTGTTCATTCGTTCGATGTCTCATTTATACTTAGAACCCCATTCCTAAGTTATAGACTTTATTAAGCTTTTCCCTATGTTTACTTAGTTCACCTAAGCTCGATGTAAGGTCATGTTGCGTAACTCGTTGAATTCTCCTTTTCTTCACCCTCTATGGGTCAACCGTTCTCTTAGCTTATTCTTGGAAGTTTAAGATGTCTTGGTTAGTCATTCTACTAGCCCCTCTAATTGTCATCAACCTATATAACACAGGCACTCAAGGTGCAACTCTATAATAGGTTCCAACCTATAGTTCTCATTATACCGTTATGGACGCTGTTCTTAAATTCTCTAGTCAAGTTTAGTTGAATCTCCCAAATAGGCCCCTATAATGTAAACGTCATAAGGAGGGAGTGACCCTCAATCTAACCAATGTTCATCTACCTATGTTGTCCCTTACTCATTCGTAACAAATCACGATTAGGGAGTGGTTGGGGACCTCCTAACCATACCCACAAGGTACTCATAAAGTTCTCTTAATATTCATGCATTATAGGGCTCAAGCTTAGTTCTATCAACTTAAAAAGTACTACCGCACACCCCAGTTGATCGAAGCAAGTTAAATAATAAGAAATTAACTGGTGAACCTCTAATAGTCCGCACATAGTACAATTCAATCATAGCCAGTTCTAAAATGTTATGCGGGCTCTCAATCATTGAGTTGAGTTTACAATTAGAGGTTGAAATGAACCTCTTTCAACCCCTAATTCGTCCCCTTATAATAACACAATAATAATATGCATAAACATATCAAAAGAGACATAATATAATAATCATGGATATCTTGTAACACCGAAAAAAAAAATAATAAAAATAAATCGGCCCAAGCCCATGGAGGGGCAAATGTGTCATTTGCCCTCCACCTACTATAGGGGTCCAAGTGGAACCCTAATAGAGGCCACCAAAAAGAAAGGGAAGACTAGGTGAGGGTTTGGGAGAATCGAGGAGCAGTCGCAAAGACTTCGTCCAGAGTCGAGGTGAGTTCTTGAATGTTTTCCAGATCCAAGACTAACCTTTACGAATCGGGACCTAATGTTTGAATACGTTCATCTAGGGAAGTTGACTTCGTGAAGAAACTTAGCAGAAATCTGGGAATTATCTGAGAACGGTAGGCGAACTTCTGTAGCTCAAATCTCGTTCTATGTTGAGGCTAAAATCACGAAAAAAAATACCAAGATGTAGCCCTCAACATGATCTAGAACTTTGCCGAAGGAACCATATCGATCCGAGCTCTGGGTCAAAAGATATGAAAATCGAAAAACGGTAGATTGGAAAAGGGCTACGAATTGTCGGAGAGAGAGAAAAAAAAAAACGAAGAGGCGCCGGGCGGCGAAGCGCGGTATCACAACCATACTATGAAGAGAGTAGGTTGTGACCCTCACGCCATGACAAGCAAAGTGGCGTCCCTCAAGAGACGCTCATTGGTCACATACGGGCCAATATAGAAGAGTGTCATGATGCGATCGAGGAAGACGATGCATCATCCAACACACCACCACGCAAAGTGGGCATTGAAGACAAGTTGAGACATAAGCAAGACAGAGACATCATAATAGACATGAAGACAAAGATAGGCTTGTTGAAGGGCCGGGTAGGGCCCCGGGCCTTAGCCTCAAAAGTCAGAGTTTTAGAAGGAATTTGGGCATGCGGTTTGGTAGTTAAGTCCGTCCATATGAAATATGGATGCTCGCCAAGTTTGGTGTCAATCGGACACCGGGCGGACAATGCACGACACCGTATGACCACTCACCAAAATCATGTTTACGCCTGGTAGAATGAAAATGGCTTGTTAGCTCTCCACCACCCTTGGGCCCTGTGGCCTAAGTGAGCTACCCTGTGGCACATACGTGTGTCGCAGTGTGGGCGAGCGTGCCGAGACGAGTGTCTCGGGCGACTTCCTTTGAAATGGGTTTTTGAAGGACAGTACCGGACAGCACGGGTGTGTCGGTATTGCGCCCTAGCCCGCGTGTTGGAGGTTGTTACATACACCCGCTATCCGATACGGTATCCGTAAATGACTCGGCATGGGCACGGGAGGGTCTATACCTCGATAGAACCCAGATGGATGGATGTTCGGGAAGCCCCGATGAGATGAACGACACGTGGGCCCATTCTCGATGGCATGACCAAGCGAGTTATGATGGCCGACGTCATCCCGAGACTCGAGATGGCGTTAAGACATATGGACCCTGTCGATGGGGATCGAGATGACAATATGAGATGCGACATTGCATTGAGAGACCTTGGTTCGAGCAGAGCCAAGGTCGAGCCGAATGACTTGGCCTAGCGTAGAGGCAAGTTGGATGTGTTGCAGACGATTGAACATGCACGCGCAAGCAACGTGTGTGGTGAACAAGCTTGAATTCCACACAAGCGATATTCGATTGGCGAAGACAAACCTCGCCTAAGATTCGACGAAGCCACAAAGCCGGAGCGAAAAATATATATGGGGCTTAATTTTCCTCAAGGCTAGTCGTGAGCATGTCAAGATCACGACGCCATGGTATAAAATGTAGGACCGTGACACGCGGCTCGGTAGGCGGTGACGTGTCGAGTGTCGGCTGGAGGGAAGCAGCTCTAGCAGAACGATGACGCGTGTCACCCACAGAAACCAGGCCGAATTGCTAGCCGAACCGACCCAACCCGTGACTGCGTGAAGCGGTCCGCGCGTGGCCGTCGCGCGTGCAGCCTGCATTTGGTGTCCTTTCTTGTGCATGGCTAGCGCGTGGTCAGCGTGTGAGGGCATGTGAGAGGCTCATTTTTCGTTCGTTTACCTTCTGTTTGTCCCGATTCTTATTTTAATAATATTTTTATGTGAATAAGAACCTAATTGAGGATAATCAGTGTTTTTGGACACCCTACGAGCATAGAGACGCTAGCGAAAGGACACGCGTCAACCAGGTAAGTCACCACCCGGTATTTAGGAAGAAATACTTGTAGGACTCGCTTGGATTGCATGCATGTTAGTATATTTGCCTTAGATTAGCTTTCCATGAATGAGATTAGGCAAGTCGATTGTTACGGGCGTATTGGGAGAATTACCTAGGTGTTGCTTGTATGTTTAAGCTCCCACTCTACGGATGCACATGCTTAATTCTTGTTGAATAGACTCTACGTTTCGGATACTTGAGGGATGACATCACCCCATTGAGCGCAAACTCTGCTTTCCGGGTTCCTGATGGGAGCCATCGCCCCGTTGAGTTTGCATGTCTAATTTGCATGAATTATGTGTGATGATGTTAGATGGCGGTTACATGCACACTATGTTATTTTCCACATTTGCCTTAGATTAGCTCTCCATGAATGAGACTAAGTAGATCGATTGTTATGAGCGTATTTAATAACTCTAAAAGTAGAGTCATATAATGTCTTTTTGTAGTTAATATTGCACTTTTATTCACAATTTTTTCATTTATTACCCCATTTATTCTACTTAGTGAGCATGAAATTGTTTATCGCGGTCCAACCATGAAAAAAAAATGATTTGGCATAAATCAATCTTAATTGTACATTTAATTGAGTTATGTGGTAAAATTTCAGACATTTATGCGGAACCATGAAGGAGTAGCAAATTTGGAAACAAATGGGGATGGCATGGAAATTTTAAATCCACATCAGCATCCAAGTGGGTCATTGACTACCCAATGAGAAACATCATATGTGGACAACTTATTCCTTTTCAGCCGTAAAGGGGAACCCATGCTCAATATAAAAGGAAAAAGAAGACCAAAAGGAGGGTGACACGCTTTGGGAGAAAAAGAAAAAAAAATCGGATTAGACAGCAGTGCCTCTACTGCTGTGAACTGCTGTGAAACTAGAGAAGAAGGAGAAAAACCCTAATCCAACATCTGTCGACAGCAGAAGGAAGAGAAGACCAAGAAGGATAGATTAGGACAACGAGGTGGACGTGAGAGTTCAAGGGAAGGGAACTTCCCTTGAAGAATGGCAACAAAGCTGGATAACTCTCTATTTCCTTACTCTCTTTTCTTATTCTATCAATTTTATATGATTAAGATGTGAGTTTCTCTGTTTAATTCAGTTTGTATGGAGAACTAAACTTTATAAGGGAGGCAAGAGAGTTTTATATAGTTGAAGTATGTTGACGGTATGATTTTAGTTTATTAAAGAGCTGTTGTTAATGATTTACATGTGTGTTTAATTAGCTACTTTACCTACATAGTTGTTCTCTTATTCAGGAGAAGAGAGGGAGTAATGAAATCCTCCTTAATACTCTAGTTACATAGTAGGGAGACTTGAAGGGTAATAGAATGGTTAGGAATAATTCTTCTCCTAGAGTCTTAATATAAATTACAACGATTATGGAAATAATCATCATTCATGACCAAGTGGGCTTGGGAATCTATTAAAAGGAACTAAAATCTACCACAAAATTCAACAACTTATCTCTTTAAAATCTCTTAGCCGAACCTTCCTCATTATAGTTGATTTTCTCATCATTTTCTGTTTTTCGACAGCAGTGACACTCTATTTTAGTTTTGTTTAAGTAGTTAAAATCACCAACACCCTCACCTAATTTACAGCGATAAAATTAACCAAAAAGATAAGTTCCCTGTGAAATCGATAATATACTTATTACTTGCTACTTGTGATAGTGTATACATCCACAAGCGATCAGTATTGGGTGAATTATCTAGGTGTTGCTTGTATGCTTTAAGCTTCCGCTATACGTATGCATATGTTTAATTCATGTCAAAATTGTGAACTCTGCATTCCAGGCGCCCGAGGGATGACGTCACCCCCTGAGCGTGGACTCCGCGTTCCGAGTGCTTGACGGAGGCCATCGTCCTGTGACGCATGCGTGTCTAGTTTGCATGAGTTATGTATGATGATGTTAGTCAACGTCTACATGCACACTCTATTATTTTCCATGACCCATTACTGTGATAAGCCTAGGGATTTGTAGTTAGGAGCGACAAGTCACTCAGTCTAAGTACAACTTTCCCTCTAGAAACCTAACAGATTACCACGACGAAGAAGTACCTTGAGTGTTTTTAGACTGCTAGTTGTCTGAACGACCTCTATAGCTTCATGGGGGAAACCAAAGGTTTCTGACAAGTTCTTAATGCTTCGAGTCGTTTTGTCCCCACGTCATACAGCCCGTAGCTGCACGGGAATGAGTTGGGTCGTGTCCTCCCCTCCCCCCCTCCTCCTAGGGGACTGTCATGGGCTTATGAGGTATTTAGCACACCCCTAGGCTAGATACCATGTAGTCTCAAATAGCCATGCAGAGGTAGCGCCTCATAAGAAACCCTTAGGTATGAAATGAAAGGATGGAGAACCAGTGAAACTCCAAGGATTCAGCTCCAAAGAGCAAGTCCCAAGGGGCTAGGACTAGAACCAGACGTCCTAGAGCCCATTAGAAGACCGTGAGAATTCTGTTAAGTTTAAGATGTAATGAGAGCCTACAAGTAGGTGACTTACTGAGTATAATTTTTATACTCATTCCATTCTCCTTTTTTTTTCTTAGAGGTACGCAGGCTGCCGGTGGAGATAAAGGAGCGTTCGAGAGCTGTGTGGTCACAGAGGGGGTCGTTTCGGAGTGTCAGTCCCTTTTCGGTCTTTTAGAATATTTTATAAACTTCCCTTATACCTATAAATTTGAATCCTCTTTTTAAACATTTGAAAATTACACTTCTCCTCCTTCTATTTTGATTTTATTGAATTTTCTTTTTTTATCTTTTACTCTTCTTTCCTCTTTCTTTTTGTTTGTTTTCGATTTCGTCTTTTGGATTACAGTCCGAGTTTCGAATCCTCGAAAATTGGGTCATGACATATCTAGTTCTGCTTTCAATTTTAAGTTCGTTTCATTATTTTCATACATCATGTTTGCTCATTTTAGTTCTAAGCTTTCACGTAATACTTCTTATAACATGCTCCAATACATACTACACAAATTTTAATTCAGATTTCTAATGTGCTACATACTTGATTCGGTGGAAACTCTAATAATCGTTTCGAGTTCTTAAAAGAGCTCTAAAATCCTTCCAACTCCTTAAATAGGTGGAAATATGAGTACCATTGAAATCAGGTTGAAAATCAAATTTCAAACACCATAATTACATAAAAATAGGATAATGGTATCGACTGGACCGAATCGATCAGTCCAACTATAGACAGGTCCTCCATAATCTCTTAGAGACACTCATGTTCGCATATGCTAAATTTCTTTTATCGTGTTCTTTGATAGGCTTTGCTTCCTTCATCAAACTTAAATTTCTTTGCCCTCAGTCTAATGGTTTAAGAATCATGAAGTTTCATTAACAATCGAAGAAGTTACGGATGATTCGAAGCCACACCAAAATTCATGAACAGTACCTTTGGATCTTCAACTCAATCGCTTCGGAGCGTTTTCGACTCTCAATATCTTGAAAGAGGTTCAAAGCCACACCAAAGACCATGAACCACTATAGTATATAGTATGAGCTATATGATTATATTTCAAGAATTTTGAAATTTAACCACTCCCCACTTATCCTCTTCCCAGAAGTTACTCCCTAACAAACTTCCCTCTCTCTCATTCTCTTAGTTTAGGTCAGTCCGCGTAAATAGATTCATCAAATTCCCTCTCAGACAGAAACGCCATTCGACCATCTGCAAGGCTTTCAATCTATTTGCCTCATCTCAATACTGTGAAGGAGGAATGGTCGTTGGGAGAGAACAGCTTGGTAAGTCCTATCCTTACAGTTTTCTTTTTGTCATTTTGTCAGAACTCATCAATTTTCGTTTCGTTTGATTTGATTTGGGTTGCTGAAAAATAAATACCAAAATTATGTGTTGTTCTAGAAAAAGTTGGTACAAACTGGTTAAAAGGGGCCAATAATCGATTAAAGTTGGACAAAAGCTGGCTGGAAATAAGGCCATAAGGAAGAGAGATTGAGGAAAAGAAGAATCTAGATACAAATTAGGGTTTGATCCAAGGCTCAGGTTCGAAAGTCGAAGCTGGTTTTTGAACCTCAACCTTGGTAGATTACAAACCCTAAACCTCAGCCTTCATAGATTACAAACCCAAACCGGCACTCGAAACAGGTTCGAAGGAACCTGCAACAACCGCGTAGCCCAGTCCAACATCCAAGTCTTCAGCCTAGTTCGTAGGTTAGTCCAGCCCAATCCAATAGTACAGGGCTTTTTGATTGTGACATCCCACCCACATCGGTTGGTGAGGGGAACTAAACATTATTTACAAGGGTGTGAAAACCTCTCCCTAACTGACTCGTTTTAAAAACCTTGAGAGGAAGCTTGAAAGGGAAAGCCCAAAGAGGACAATATCTGCTAGCGGTGGGCTTGGGCCGTTACAAATGGTATAAGAGCGGCGATGTGCCAGCAAGGACGTTCAGCCCTAAAGGGGCTTGGATTGTGAGATACAACATCGATTGGAGAGGGGAACGAGTGGCAACAAAGACACTGGGCCCGAAGGGGGTGGATTGTGAGATCTCACATCAGTTGGAGAGAGGAACAATGCATTCTTTATAAGGGTGTGAAAACCTCTCCCTAGCAGACGCATTTGACACTAGTATGACCACTGTTTGGTCAATAAAGTAATTTTTAGCCAAAAGTAGGTTTTCGTTTATTATGCCTTAACTCGATATCGTGGGCACATGAAGGTTGAATTGGTTTACAAAGGATAGATCTAGACTAGCCCAATAATAGATTAGTGACTTCAGCTTAGACACACTAAGTAAGTGGTTTTACTATTGGCTTGGTGGATGACTTGATTGTTGTATGAACGATGTGTGCCCTAT